CTTAACTGACTGAGCCACCCAGGCGCCCCTAAAAATAAAATCTTAAACAGGAAGACCCTGGCAGTTAATTTACTAGCAAGAAATGGTTTATTCAGGAATAACAGAGAATTGGAATCTAGGACCAGGGAACTACGGCAAAACCGTAAGCAAGTCTGAACAAGGGAGAGGAACACTCTTCTGCAGAGGAAAGTGGGAGATTTGTTATAAACAAACTGTCCATTGGATTAAATGGGGAGTTCTAAGCATAGTGGCTTTTCATTGGCTGAACTGTAACTGTCTCTCATTGTCTGGGCTGTTGCTGGGTGAGGAAGAAGCCTTCCTTCTCCCTGGGATAGTAAAGTGGTATCCACTGGGAAGGTCTGCTCTTCCTGTTGCGCCTGTAATTGACAAGCAGTCGTAGGGCGTGAGAGCTGCCCCTTCAGAACCTCCCAACTCCATTTTAGTGAGGTTTCCCTTTATTGGTTTTTACAAACCCCAAAGGACTGAGTTCGGAGAGATTCTGGGCTGGTGAACCCATGGAGGTGCAGGAAGAGTGGCCCACCTGGAGAGTGTATGGAAGCTCAGCATCCCTTCCCACGAACCTTGCTCTGCACACCTCTTCCATCTGGCTGTTCCTGAGCCGTGCCCTTTTGTAATCAACTGGTGATCTAGTAGGTAAAATGTTTCTCTGAGTTCTGTGAGCTGCTTTAGCAAATTAATGGAACCCAGGGAGGAGGTCGTGTAAACCTCCTCTGTTGTTGGTCTGTCCACGAAGCACAGGTGACAACCTGGGCTTGGGACTGGCATCTGAAGTGTGTGTGTGTGTGTGTGTGTGTGTGTGTGTGTGTGTGTGTGTGTGTTTGTGTGTGTTGGGGGGTAGTCTTGTGGGACTACACCCTTAATCTGTGGAATCTGGTGCTCTCTTTGGGTAGACAGTGTCAGAATTGAGTTGAATTCTTAGACACCTGCTGGTTGGCCTGAGAGAATTGCCTGGGAGTATGTCGGAAGCCCGCAACCCCCTAAACCCCCGTAAGAAGTTGGTCCAAGAACCAAAAGAGTAACTTTGGCATTGTGTTGTGCACAGAATGCCCCCAACCATTCACTTGTCTTTTTGTACTCTTCTCAACTTTTGGTAATGCACTCCAAACCCTGCACACCTGAGGCAGGTAGAGCCAGGGAGAGTAGCTCTCCATAGCTCCTGCTTCAGGGATGGACATAAGCCTTAAGCCAGGCCATCTGGTGTCCTCTTCTGGGTTGGTCAAACTGCAGCCAGAAGGGGAGACCCCTTTGCCTCTTGGGGTACGAATGGGATAGAATTGGTCTGCAGTAGAAAAGAATGGAACTGGGCAAGAACAGCTGAGGGGTCAACGCAGAGACTCCTGGCGGTGGGTAGTCCCAGCTTCCATACCCAATGGCTCAATACGTTGCTCTAGGTCTTTTCAACCCACTTTGTATTTGTTCGTCAGCAGGTGGGTTTCTGGGTTCCTAACTCTGGAAGCTCTGTGTTCTGACAGGTAACTGAAATAACGCAACTTGAGTTTCTCTTTCATTCCCATCAGGGGCAATTGCAAACTTGGTTCTCTCTCTAAACCTTTTGCTAACCACTTCCTTCCTTCCCGTAGTTTTGTCTTCTGTTTCACCGAGAGAAGTAAAGTTACCAGACAAGGATTTAATAAATTCTCTTCTCCCTTCACTACAATTGTCAGCAGTAGCATCAGGATTTTTTCATCCCTCTTGTCCCCAACAGTCATTTTCTCTCAGCTCAAGGCCCGTCTCTGCTTCTGTTTTAGATCTCAATCCCTTGAGGAACGACACGAGGAAATGGGCCTAACCTGGTGCCGCCTACTCCACAGAAGTTTGTAAGAAGCAGAATGTTCTGAGGGCCTCGTGGACCCCGCGTATCCTATCGCATATGCGAAGTGACCCTGCATGGGAATCTTTACAAAATCCTGAGAGTGCTCACGTTTACCAGTGTGGTGTGGTAACCTTCCTATACTCTTCTCTTGACTGAGTGTAGAAAAAATGGTCGCCGAGGAAAAATGGTGGAAACATGGAGGTGCATAATTGGAACTTTCTATGCTGGATGGACGTGAAGGTGTTGGGGCCCACCCTGAAACTCTGTGGGCCAGGGGGAGAGGAAAGCCTGGCACTGCTGTCTGACTGCCCGTGGGTCTTTCTGCCTTCGACCCAGTCTTGACAGTGAGCCTCTCCCAGGCCTGGCTCAGTGACTTTCAGAGGGTCCTGGATTAATAGTGGTGAACACCAGTTAGTAAAGATTGAGAGGCATCGCTTCTCGGCCTTTTGGCTAAGATCTAGTAAAGATTGAGAGGCAGCGGTGGGGAGCAGGGGAGTGTTGAGGAGGGATCCAGCGAGAATAAAATTGCAGGAATGGTGGTGCAGGAAGTCACTGTTCAATCCTGGAGGATGTAGGCTGACCCCTGCATTGATACTGGAGCGTGAGAGAACCAGCAATGGGCCCGAGGTTCGAAAGTGCTCCTGTAAGGGGTACGGAGCTGATGAGAAATCTTCCTTTTTTTGGGGGGAGGGGGACAGACTGTACAGATTTTACAGCTGTCTTTGTCTTCTCTAGCAGTTTCTGCCTCAACCCCGAGAGTTTCATGGCTTTCCCCCCTTCCTTTAGGCTCCTACAGGCTGGAGCTTCATGAATCTCCACTCCCATTACTTCATCCAGACATTGGTCTGTTGGAAGTCATGTTTCACAATAAAACATGAAAATAGTAGGGCCAGTCGAGTGACACTGCTGCTCGTGGTATTTTACACATTTGAAGGCTATGGTAGCGTCCCTGTCCCTCTTGCTGTGGTTCAGCGTTCCCCACAAATTCAACAATATGAGTTTCGTTCTTTCAAACTCCGAGCCCCGTGGGGCTTTATGTCCCAGTCAACTCAAATACGCCTCTTGGTGATCTAATCTTTCTTTCTCCAACCCTTAGTGCATTCTATCTCAAGTAGAGCAAGAGATCCAAGGGAGGAGGGGTGCTGCTGAGTTCAAGGACAGGTGTGGTTGCATTAAGGACAGGAACTCAAAGAACAAAATTTCGCTACGTAAAAATCCTGAAAGGGAGTGGTTACCAGGAATGCCAGAGTCCAGGGAGGGGCTGTGAGGGTCAAGTTGAGGGACCTGAGTTTCCTTGTAAACTCCCAACTCCTTCATTTGTATCAGCTGAACTATCTCTTCCGGAAAGAAGCTTCCCCTGGCTGGAGTTGGCTTCCCCACAGCCTCCATGTTGTAACCTCTCATTACTCATGGTATTTTTCTCTTTAGGGATTTTGCACATCTGTTGTTAAACAATTTCCTATAAACTTTATCTGTATAACCTCTTTGGCCACCAGCCGGACTGTAAACCCCACGAGTGCGTGGATAGTGTCTGTCCTGTTGGTTGTATCACTCCCAGCCCGTGGCACAGTGTGTGTATGTGATGATATAGAGTTGGTGCTAGTAAATGCTAGTTGACGGTATGTTATGCATGGTGCACAGTAACTCACAAATATTACCTCCGTGAGCACTCAGACGTTATGAGTGATTATTGGTTCTGTCTCCCCTTGTTTCTTTCTCCGGTGTGACTAACAGTAAAACCATTAAAAATGGAAAGCCAGCAGACACATGTATTAGAGATAGCAAGGATAAGGTGGATTCGGGGTTAAACCTTGCACTACACCAAACTATGACTTTAGAGAGATTCCAAAAGGGTGTATGTGGGGGCGCGGGTGGTGGATGCAGGAAGAAAAATGGTACAAGTGGATCAGTCATTTGGCTGGAGCAAATGGGAAAGTGAGGGGTGCCCAAGGACTGGTTTGGGATAAAGAAGGGGTTGTAGGGGACAGAGAGGCTATGGCCTTTGTGAGACCTGAGCACTGGCCTGGCTCTCTGGGCAGGACTGCTGGCCCTAGGCAGCTGCACAGAGAGGAGAAGATGAGGTCTGTAAATATCGATTGTAGCCCCTCCTCATCCTGGTGAAGGAGAATTTAACCCCAGGTGACATGTGTGGTCTGGGCAGGATGGTTTCAAAGGCTACGAAAGATCCCCAAGGGGGAAAAGTTAGGTTCTGTCGAAGCTCCTTGTTATTAGGAGCCCCTCTGTGCTCCAGGGCCCCAGTCTCCAGACCATTCTGAGAAGGGAAGAAAGACCCATAATCACACCTCCCCCACCTACTGATTCCCACCTTAGCCCTTCACATTCACCTTTGAGTTCCTATGCTGCTTGTCCTCATTTTCTGCTGGCCTGATGATTGTTCTTACACTTCAAACCTCCTTGTTGCTGGTTCTCTGCTTCGGCCATGAGCTAAGTCACTGGGAAGAACAATGCCTGACTGAACCAAAAACTTCCTCTCACGGGCCAAGTGGTAACTGATCGCAGCACTCTGACCCTGAAAGATCTCACTCTGCAGCGATCAGCCAAGACCCTCAGGGGAGAGAAAGCCATTCGCGCTTTTTGATGCAACTTTTCCATCCCAGCCCCCATCATGGGGGCCTGGTTCTCAGAGACCTATGGAAACATGGTGTCTGAGGGTCATGTTGTTCATATAAGGAGATTTTGGAGATTCAGAATCTAATTGGTGTTTGAGCTTCAGAAAGTGGCAGATGCAGTCTCCGATCGTATCTTAGATGGTAAAATGTGTGTCTATTGGTTCGCAGTAGGGAGGATGTCAGAGGATGTGTTTGTATTCTCCCCTCCCTTTACTGTAGACCTTTGTTGGTATCCTGATACCTCCTTGCAGGGTTATTTTGCAGCTGGGACTGTGACCTTGATGACATGGGAGTCAGGATGGCTTCGAATCTCCCTCTTCAGGGACTCTGTTTTCTCCTCAGCACCATGGCGGCTGCTCCAGGTGAGAGTTTCCTGGGATCAACAGTAAGTGAGTGGACACCTTGGTGAAGGGAAAGGTTTCTGAAGTCAGGGAGCCAGAACCTCAATGTAAGCAATGTGTTTTTGGCCAAAAAGGGACCACATTGACTGAATGTTGGTTCTTAATTTTTTTTTTAATGTTTATTTTTGAGAGAGACAGAGAGTGAACGGGGAAGGGGCAGAGAGAGAGGAGAATCCGAAGCAGGCTCCAGGCCCTGAGCTGTCAGCGCAGACCCTGACGCGGGGCTCGAACTCACGAACCGTGAGACCACGACCTGAGCTGACGTCGGACATTTAACCAACTGAGCCACCCAGGCACCCCTGGATGTTGGCTCTTCTCTGTGGGGTCAACTGGTCATGGTGGCAGATTTTTCAGAGAAATGATGTGGGGCCAGACTGAGATGAGTCCGTGACAGTCCTCTCCAATGTCTCCTTTGTTTTCAGGGAGCATCTGGTTAGTCCCAGTGGCTCCCCGTGTGTGGGAAGGACCAGCGGTTGACCTCCGCTGCATCTGTGGGCTCCTCCTTGCACATTCCATTTGCCTGCTTTGCAGAGGCCACCCCATCAGGATTTCTATGTTTTATAGGTTTATGTTCCTGTAGGCCATGCGCTTGTGTGTGTGTGTGTGTGTAGAGTGGGTGTGAGGGGGGGTATGAACAATATGAGAAGACTGTCAGCGGGAGAGGAACAGGGCGGCTGAGAAATGACTGAGTCTGTTGCTCTGTGAAGCACACAGTACCCACACTACTTGGAGAGTCACATCAGCTGTAGGTAACCAGATCATAGATAATCTCGCACCTGCTCCTCTCCTTCAATCCTTTGGCCTTCTTTCTGCTTGACTGCAGTGTTTGCTGAGCACGGAGTTCTGTGAGAGGCTTGGCCTCCTGGCCTCACCTATACCTACCAAGTGTCTCTTGTAGAGCAGAGGAGCCTGCAGCCATAACAGGAGGCCTCTTGTTAGTAGAGAGTAGCCATGGAGCACCTGGGTGGCTCAGTTGGTTGAGCGTCCGACTTTGGCTTAGGTCATGATCTCGAGGCTCGTGAGTTCGAGTCCCACATCGGGCTCTGTGCTGACAGCTCGGAGTCTGGAGCCTGCTTCGGTTTCTGTGTCTCCCTCTCTCTCTGCCCCTCTCCCACTTACACTCTCTCCCTCAAAAATAAATTAACATTAAAAAAATAAAAGGCATTAGCCGGTGCACAGTATCAGTTACATTAAGTCTCCTGGGTCCCCACCGCAGTCCTCGCGCGTCATTTCCTGACTTTCCGGGATCCTGGACTGGTCCTTTCTCACTCCCTACAGAATTCATCTGCTGTGAATCCTGCAGGGCACATTTTCTCTCTCTGCTTTCTTCTATCCCTCTCTGCAGGTTGCTTTCCACTGTGCCTTTGACTCAGAGGACTGCAGGCATTAGGGGTAGGGCTGCAAAAAAATCCAGCCTTCAGGCTGGAAGAGGTCACTCTTTCAGATTTGGGTGCTGGTCCAGGATGAGCCTTCTTCCAGTTCTGAGTCCTCTCGGTGCTCATCGTCTGCTTCCTAGAACTCAGTCTCTCAGTCCCTCCCCAACTCTCCTTGGAAGACCCCAACCTTCTAAGTTTCTGCTCCATGAGTGTTGGCTGGATGCTAGTGACGATCCTTCTCTTGAGACTTTGAAGGGCAGATAGGGGTTTTGGTCCCACGAGGGGGAGAGGCAATGAGTGTTCTGATATGAGGCCCCCTCTTCTTACTAGGAAGACTATAGGACATTTCCTCAGTAGTAACTTAAGTTGCAAGAACATTTCGCCAAAGCAAGTGTTCCTTTTATTTTCCCAGAAAAAACACCATTCAGTGTTGTCCTACTAAAAATTTATTCTACTTCATACAACATTGGCCTTGCTCTGTGTAAAACAATAGTCCTTGTCCTTCTGAGCATTTGATCATTTGTGAGTTGGGCACACATTACAGGAGTCTCCACTGTGAAATCCATGATGGGCATTGGCAAAAGATTATTCTTTGAAACACAGTTCATGCCATTATACACATAAATATAGACTCTCAAAGATGGGATAATTCAGTATTTATTATTTTGTAAACTTTTTTTTAAAGTTAACAATATATTTTGGATATCTTCCTATTCTTGTACACAGTGAAAATGTTTTATGGTAGTATTACAAAAATGTAGACTGTTATAAGGGTAATATGGAAAATTTTAATTGCTTCCAATTATTTCATTATATGACCAAAATGCAATATACTTACCTAATCACCTGTTTGGGGCATTTAGTTGTTTTCACTGTGTTTTGTTTTTTTTTTTTTTGAGACTAAATATTTTAATTAATTATTTTTAAAATTTGCATTCAAGTTAGTTAGCATATAGTGCAACAATGATTTCAGGAGTAGATTCCTTAATGCCCCTTACCCATTTAGCCCATCCCCCCTCCCACAACCCCTCCAGTAACCCTCTGTTTGTTCTCCATATTTAAGAGTCTCTTATATTTTGTCCCCTTCCCTGTTTTTGTATTATTTTTGCTTCCCTTATGTTCATCTGTTTTGTATCTTAAATTCTTCATATGAGCGAAGCCATATGATATTTGTCTTTCTCTGACTAATTTCACTTAGCATAATGCCCTCTAGTTCCATCCACGTAGTTGCAAATGCTAAGATTTCATTCTTTTTGATTGCCAAGTAATACTCCATTGTATGTATATATACCACAGTATAGACAGACAGGTCCTAAAGGTGCAGTGACGAGAGAGTTGGAAAGCAAGGGGCTAAGACTCTCCTAGAGCTGAAGCATTGGTCCCCTGGCTCAAGCCTCTTTTATTTTTTTATTTTTTATTTTTTATTAAAAAAAATTTTTTTTTCAACGTTTATTTATTTTTGGGACAGAGAGAGACAGAGCATGAACGGGGGAGGGGCAGAGAGAGAGGGAGACACAGAATGGGAAACAGGCTCCAGGCTCTGAGCCATCAGCCCAGAGCCCGACGCGGGGCTGGAACTCACGGACCGCGAGATCGTGACCTGGCCGAAGTCGGACGCTTAACTGACTGCGCCACCCAGGTGCCCCAAGCCTCTTTTATTTTTGCAAATTGTCTGATAACAGCAGGACATGCAACATAGTATTTGGTATCTTGACAG